AACTCTCTGTGGAGTTTGCAGGAATGGGGTTTCCCCCTTCTCTCCCCCACCAAGCCCCCTCTCCCCACCGAATTCTGCTCGGGAGGGAGGGCCAGCAGACACAGGGAGAGCATGGGGAGTGAAGTCCGGATCTGAAGGGGGAACAGGTGGAAACTGCTGCCCCTTCTTCCAAAGAGTCTTGGGGACTTTATGGCCCTGACCTGGATAGCCCAGGCAAGCCTGATCTCCTCAGATCTCAGAAGTTAAGCGGGGCAAGTATTTGTAGTGGTTAGGAGCGCAGACTCTAATCTGGAAGAATGGGATTTGATTCCCCACTCCTCCACATGCAGCTACTGGTGTGACCTTGGGTCAGTCACAAGTTCTCTCAAGAGCCGTTCTCTCAAGAGCCGTTCTCTCAGAGCTCTCTCAGCCCCACCTACCTCACAGGGTGTCTGTTGTGGGGAAGGGAAGGGAAAAGAGACTGTAAGCCGCTCTGAGACTCCGAGTGAAAGGCGGGATATAAATCCAATCTCTTCTTCTCCTCCAAAGAATACCAGGGTCGGGAGGCAGAGGCAGCCTATCAAGCCACTTCTCTGAACGTCCTCCAAGCTCCAGTAGGAGTTACCAGAGGTCACCATGACTTCCAGGCATGGGCACACACACACACACACGCAAAAAAAAAAAGTCTTGGGGACTTTATAGTTATATGCTTCCCTATACACTAAGAGCTGCCATCTACAGAAGAAATTTCCTAGCTTCTCTCTGGCATTCACTGCTCTGTAGAACAAACCTAAGGCGGCAAGAATGCCCACGTTTTTCTTTATTCAAGGCCTTTCCTTCAAAGTTCACATATTCCCAAGTGCTTCTCCCTGACACAGACGTCATCCTTTCATCCTACAGATATGAGATGCCACCATCTCAGCCTGGCTTAGTTTTCCCCACTGAGACTTATCAGGCTGGATTCCACGATATCACAGGATTGGATCTGTCCCATCTTTCCCCCCAAGCAGCCCTTTCGATCTCTGGAAAGCTGGGGGAAGCTGTGTGGACCTGACTACACGGGGACGATACAGTAAGGAGAGGGAGGCAGCTTCAGGATAAGAAATACATTCCTAACAGCTGCAGGAGTAATTTTAAAAAACAACAGAAATGCAACCTTTTCATGGTACTCCAAAATCATAGACTCCTAGAGCTGGAAGGGACCTCCAGGGTCATCTAGTCCAACCCCCTGCACAATGCAGCAAATTCACAAATACCTCCCCCCCCACACCCCCAGTGACCCCTGCTCCAT